TATACAAAGTAACGCTTTTCAACTCGTTTGATTACGAACAAAATCCAATTCAAATATAGAACTAAAACGTCATCATTTAAATATCCTAACATATTGAAGCCTAACAGTTTGCTTATATATAAATATTAGTGTTATATATTATATATAAATGTGCATAATGTAATTACGATAATTATAGAACAGTCTCAATGATGTGGATAATACATAAATATTATCATAAACTTTATATATATATATATATATATATATATATATATATATATATGTATGTATGTATGTATATATAATGTATATATGTAAACTTTATATATATACATTATGCACACACACACAGACACATATATATTTTGAATTATATATATATATAATGCACATATATAATATATATATTGACAAAAATATATATATAAAATTAACTAATCTTACGTTTCATATCTCACGAGACTGTCACAAAAAATATTATACGAGTAATAGATAACTAATTAAATATGTAATTAAATCACCTCCATAGCACATGTGCATAATTTATGTTTTTAAAATCATACATTACATTTTTTAATTTCGAATTCGTACATATACGTTCAGTCACGGGAGATAGAAATAAAAACAAACGTCATACTTCTAACTGCAAAATTTATTTATTTTGCTCTACGAATGCAGTCAAAATTTGGGGAGAACAAAATTTATTAAATTGATTTGTTCTGTACAGTGCATAATATCTTTCAAAATTCATATTATATTCACTAAATATAAATAGAGAAAACGGAATCTATCGATCTATGTGTATGAATGTGATGTATATTAAATCAAATCAAGTCAAATTATATCGCTTATGCTTGATTTGCAAAAAAATATACATTATTTTTATATATAAATATAAAATACAAGCAAAAAAATTAAAGAAAAATGCGATGGGTTCCTAGGAACAATTGAAGAGTGAAAATCAAATATCGACTGTTTCAAAGATAAATTAAAATTCAAGAATGATATGAATTATATTTCATCAAAAAGATAAAAAACTTCAAATTTTAATTTTTTAAAACATTAATAATGTAACATTTAATATAACCCATTTAAAAACACAAGTTGAAAAACAATATTCAATACTTGACATTCGCTTATTAAAATATTCTTTAAAATACTTTATATTCGAATAAAATTTAATATAAACTTTAATATTCTTTTAAAATTCTCTAATGATATATTTAAATCTTTCAGTAAAAATAAATGCATTTCTTCTTCTAGATACTTTGATAAAGTTATCGAATACATAAAAAGTATGTTTAATCTATCATTAGATTTAAATGAGAAATTTAAAAAAACATTAAAAACTGAAGTCTTTTATATAAATATATCTTCTATAAATTTTTGTATAATTTTAATTCATATCAATGTTTATAAATTTAAAATTTGTTCTACTTTTAATAATCTTACAATTAGAAATATATTAAGATAATTTGCATTTAAATCATAATGGTAGAAATTATTTTTTCTTTAAATGTTCACAATATATATCAATGATAAAAATATGCAATATAACAATATCAAATTAACAGAATTATAATTAATAATAAATTTAAATTCAGGAATAAATTAATATGATAAAAATTATTTAAAATCTTATAAAAAAGCTTTTTTTATCTTTCTAACTTGCTTTAATATTTGACTTCCACTCTTCTCGAGGACATCTGTCCTTAAAAATTAAAAAGTATCAATAAAGTCCATATGTCTCTCCTACAATTATATTGATTGGAGATATAGCCAATGAATTATAAACAATAATATCGCTAATGAATATGAGGTTATTCTTATTAATAATCTAATATTGGATTTTGTTCGATCGTCTCGCTCGTAATCTTAACGTTTCGAAAAGATGGTAAAGTTTCCTATGGATTACGATTCTAAAAGCATGATGTTATAGAATTATCCTCCCTAATTTTTGCCAGAGTCGCAATCGATCAAGAAATCGCGAAACTAGAATCGCAGAATCACGTTGCATGCTTCGTTTTAGAACGAAACATAAATTCGAATCTTAACGATAATATAAAGATTGATATGGATTTTCATATCAGGCTATTTTTTCTCATGGTATAATAAATAATAAAGTAATATATCAGATCGTTCATAGTCTTATTAGAATCGAGTTAAAATTGTATTCAATACACTTGGACTTTTGTATTGCTTTAATATGTGTCAACAAATTTCATAATTGAAATAGTATAAGAAAGAGAATACATATTCATAAAATATTAACAATGAATAGATATAGAGTATTTTAGAAAATCTATTGTAATAATATGTCAGGCTTTTAATTTTTTCAAATTAGTTTTTTTAAACATAAAAAGTAAAACTGAAATCTCATTATTTAACATTGAAAATTATACATGTATAATTACATTTATATTTAATCAGATATTATCTATAATTAATTTCAAGAAAATATGTATGTTATATATTTTTAGAATTCTAATTTGAAATTAAGTTATAGAAATATTTGTATTAGCTATTGTGTCTGTGACTAATGTTTAAAAATGTGTAATAACTTTAAAAAATGTATATATATTGTCCAAGCTCTTATCTTTTCTCGTTTATAAAACAGGCGAGTATTGAACACGATAGCATTGATGTTCGAATTAATTTTTGGATGGCTAAAATAGTCAATCAGTCAATAAATTGAGCGTTTTTTCGTTCCGTAACTTGGCACGTTACGCGAAACTTGATAAGTTAGTTCGACGGTCGTTAGAGCTAACATTAATACATTCAGTGCCGCATAAATTTTAATCTTTTTGGAAGTCTAATTAGAAAGTAGATTATAAAATTTAAATCGAATGTAAATTTAAAACATAATTTTTTCTCTCTCCTTCTTCGTATTTATATACAAATTTCTAAGTACAGTATTTTTATATAGATATGCCACTGATTGTGAGAGACGTTCTTTGACACGATTGCCGCGGCATTGAAAGTATTAAGAGATTACACAATGGACACGCAGGGATCGAGAAATGAGCATGATGATTCGCGCTCGAGCGTGCGATCAAGATGTGCGCTTCGGCCTATTCGACTATTGACGTAAAACAGTAGTATGAATGATATGGGGATGATGATTCGGGCGATGTCGTGAAAGTCAGCCGAAGAAAGCTTCGAGCACATCGTCATCTCACCCTCGAATTTAACTTATGTCATAAACGGCAGTTTATCGGCTCTTCGTAGTGCACGATAATATTAAATGATCAGTCAATAGAGAAGAACTTTGTGTTTCTTCTCGTTGATTTCTCAGTCAATCTGCACAATTGAAGGCATATTCCATTCTCTGAGATTCCCTCTTAGATCAGAGAGAAGACTGTAAAGATCGCTATTAAAATGTGTATACATTTTCTTTTGATGGAATAAGTGAGAGCGAGTCATTTCGGTCATTTGCAAAAATCATTCTGCTGATCTTAGATTATTAGTGAACTCATCGTTGTGCGCGATGACGAGGCGGAGAACATGAGAGTTCACTTTTATCCTGACTATTTCAAGATGTGTAATAATGTAATAGCAATCGTCGCATGCGCATTTAATACACGTTCACATCTTTATTCGAATAAACGACTTATAAATAAAATATGCGAGGTCTGTTAAGAGTATATATCGTAAAATATCAAATCGTAGCTTGTTTGTATTGGTCTTCTATTCGTTTCTGTTATATACGCATTAATGTAAATGTACGAGACACGTTTCTTTCGTTTCATCGTGTCTTCCTAGCATAGTTGACGAACATAAGAGAACGACGCGAAATTGTCTATCGATCTATAGAAGTCCTCTTACAATTAGTGACTTCGACTAGACGCGAGCATGCTAATTCGAATAAAAATAATAATCGCAATGGAATATCACTCGTCGACAAAAATTGACACCTTTGTGTTTTTAATAACAACGAATTCTTTTTAGGAAAACCTATGTCTATCAATATTCTTAAATCACAGTCAATTTAACAGGAATGGACATCATGAATAGCAGTAAAAATAGTGATAATAATAACAATAACAATAATAATGATGGCCGAAAGCGCGTCACATACGATTTTATTTTAACCATTATTATTATTATTATTTTCTAGTATCGTTTCCGTATACTATGTTGAGCGTCACAAAAATAAGCAAATCCATATGTACTGCATTTATATTATCATTCACATTGTAATCTAAGTTAGTTCATACAAAACATCTGTCGACATTTTTATTTACTTAGATTATGTATAAAATAATATAAATGTTAATACACATGGATTTTACAACTCAATATTAGTTTGTAGGAATAGACGAAGAGTAAATCTACAAATCGATATGCTCTTCCGCGAGTATTTTTAAATCATGTCAATGATTCAATCGTAGAGGAGAGACTGAATCCAAGTGGTTACATATTTTTAAAATTATAATTCACTGAGTCAGTTTATTCAATATAATTAACCATTTGAAGCCAATTCACTCCTCTAAGGCTGAAAGAATTATAAATCGCAAAATAATAGTGCGCATATAAAAGCTAAAATAAGCTTTTAAGATCTTTGACAAACTCTTTAACGAACTCAATGGTCCTGCATTATATAAATGTGAACCATGTTAGGCAGACAAAATGATGGTAGAAAGCGTATCGATGTAAGCTCTAATATTAAAAAATTTCTATTTATCTTATAAAACGCAATGAGCAAAACACAACAAGTGAAGTTTACTGTGCGACGTATCTACAATCATTTAAACTCAAAATGTGCATTGTTTACTAATTCACAAAGAGTTAAATATGCTATGTTTAACAAAAACCTATGTTATAATTTAAAAAATCATCGATCGTATGTTTTTATTTTGACATTTTTTTTACCAATTTAATCTTAAAATAATTCTTGATCAGTTTTCATTGTAATTGATTGCAGCATTAAAAATAAAATATTGACTAAATCTTTTAATATCGTATATCAAATGATCAAGGACAAGAAAATTGAAGAGGTAAAATAAAGGAAGCGAGACTTCAAATCGTTAAATTCATTTGGCACAGATACAATCGACATTTTAACATACTGCAACTATATTGGAATTATCTACCCTATCATTTTTTCACGTATGATCTTAATTCTCTGTTTAGGCGATATAAAAAAGACAAGTCAATACACATGTTATGTAAATATTAATAGTAGAGTATTGGGGGAAAAAAACGTTCAAAAACACGTAGTAATCGATTACAGTGGACGACACGTTCGATTACTTCTAGACCGATCACGTGCGAAATTACAGCTAAGAAAGTTTCGCAAGTTTAATCATAATATGTATGTCACGTCAAGCCTTCCCTCATATAATTGTCACAATAATTAAAAGTAGATTGTTATTAGGGAAAGCAAACATGAAAAAAAACCGATAGAAGCCGATTTCCGCGATATAGGCATCAGTCAGCATATATACGAGTTAACATAAAACGTTAACGATGTAGATCATATAAATAGAAGTTGGCCTTCATCACGAAAAGTAAAATATACAACTATCGTAATATGTTTAACGAGCAATCATATCCCGCTATTTTATCATTATAATCGCCGAAAGAAATGATATAGTTTACGAACTGCATTGTAAAATAGCGCGTCACGTTTCAGACGCGTAGTACAATTTACGTAAAGTATATAGAATCAATTTATATCAGTTTATACCTGTGAATAAGTACTTGTGGATTAGGGTTATGCATGTAGGACTCTTAAACTGTATATAAGAACAAAGTTAAGACGTCGCCGCTACAACTACAGGAGGAACAACGTCGGGTTCTCCGCTACCGTCGACCTTTTTAACTTTTATGGACTCCGCACTATTTTCCGACGAACTCTCGGGCTCACCGTTTTGTGCTGCCGCATCTTCGCTCGTCTCCTTCGACGGTCCTTCGTTCAGTCCGTTACTGTGTAATTTATCATCCAACACTGGCACATCCGTACTGGCATTTCCGTTTTGCGCGGTTCCATTGAGTTTTTGCTTTTCTGAATCCACTATATTTTTGTCCTTTGTATCCACTATATCCTCTTCTTTCACTATTTCTTCTTCTTTTGTTATCTCCTGTTTCGTAGTTTCATCCTCGCGTTTATCAGCGTCAGTGACTGTTTCCTCCGTTTCTTGAGATGTCTTTTCATCGATTTTTTCAGTTTTTGCGACTGCTTCCAAACTTTTCTCTGCAGATGTTTCAATCGACGTTGTTACATCTTCTTTCTTTACATCTGTCGTACTAGTTGTTGCTTTCGTTTCTGTTACTATAGTTTTTTCCACAGCTGTCTCTATAGTCTCCCCATTTTCCGTAAAATCTACTGCGGTCGATTCTACATTTTTCATTTCTTTTTGTTCATTTTTTGCTAAAACATTTTCGCTTTCAGATGTGGGAACAATCTTTGATTCTTTCTTTACTTCATCTTTTTCTGCTGTTAAGCATTCCTCAGGTTTGTCTGCTATTTTGTCACTTTGTGATTGCAGTTCAATATCGTCTTTTTTGTCACTCTCAGTCGTTTGAGTTTTTTCAGCAAGTTCAACTTGTATATTTGTTGCAATATCTGTTGAGTCTTTGATTTTATTTTCGGAAGACGTCGGAACATTTTCAGATTTTGATATAGCTTCTGAATTGGATACATCTGTGGATTTACTGGCAGTGGGAATAATTTCAGTTGTTAATGTATCTACATTTTTTTCAGTCTTTTCTGTTGTAGCAATTTGATCATTATTTTTTGTGGCTGGGATTGTAGTATCATCTTTCATAGTTTGTTCTGCATTTCCAGACGTACTTGTATCTTCATTTATGTCTTTAGATTTGACATCAGATTCTACTGATTCTGCAATTGGAGTTTCTTGTTCAGAATTTAAAGAATCTTTTTCAATCACCATTACTTCATCCTTTTGCGGCAAAGAAATTGAAGAATCTTGTGATAATTGATTTTTTAGACATTCTGTTCCTTCTGATTCAATCACTTCTTTCTCGGTTTCGTTTTTTTCAACTTTTTGATCATTAATATTAGGCATGTCAACATCTTCAGAAGTATCCATTGGTTCACTGACATCAGTTGTATTTTCGTCAACTTTTTCATTTGCTGTTTCTAATTTCTGTCGTTTTGCAGATGTTTGAAATGTTAAATCCAAGAAGGACTTGATAGTTGTATATGTAACTTTTTCTTCATCATTAAGAGCTGCATTACCCTCACGTATTACAATAACCGTTGATAAACCTGCTTCCTTGGCAGCTGCAGCTTCTGTCAATTAAAAAAAAAAAAAAAAGAAATAAGCAAAGAAAATTTTGCAAATATTGTCTAAAAAATAATGTAATAAATCAATCACAAAATGATCAGATTTTTTCCTCCTTCCTTTAAAAATAAGAGAAATATACGAACCTTTTACAATATCAGTGAGAAAAATAACATTAGATGATTCCTCGTCAATTTTGCTCAATATGTTTTTGTAACTATCACTTTCTTGCTTGGCACCTACTTCTGTATCAAAGAAACCACTGAAATACTAAAAAAGAGAAAAAATGTTTTATAATTTTTATACAAAATCCTTTTTATCCAGATGCTTATCTAGTCAAATATCTTTAATTATATATAGTGTACAATTGTATTATTATATCCATATTATTAATGTACATTACCTTAAGCAGATCGCCACATACAGAATGCCCAAAAAGAAGTTTCTGTGCTTCAACACTGCCACTTGAGTAGACATATATTTTTCTGCCATCATTTTTCCAAGATTCAAGTGCTTTAGGAACATCTTCATAAATACTAAACAAGTATGCACAAGCATGTACTCTTGAAGCTTAACATTACAATAATTTGAATTTGAATTTTTATTTTTATTTATTTTTACAATTTTAATTGGATTATAGAAGTTTTCATAATCGATATTATTTAAGAATCTTATTTCAAAAAATAAAATAAATTAAAATTATTTATAAAATAATATCTGGTAACAGTTACTTAAAAAAAAGTAATACAATCCAACAATTATGATGCGTAAGCTAATTGACAAATTAGAATAAATCAAAGAATTATAAAATACAAGCACACCTACCTATAGCACGATTTATTTTTATTTATGCATGATCTCATGAGATAACACAATAGTATAAGATAAAGTCTTATACAACAAAAAACAAGTATAAGATAGTCTTATACACAAATAAATATAAACAAAACAACTGAAGTGAACCCAAATATTATGTATATTCACCTCACTATTATTTATATATATATTAAAATATATTATTTATAGCATAATAGAAATATATATATATATATATATATATATATAAAATAGATGTTATTCTTTATTTTTATATCTAATAAGTGTACGATACCACTTATATAGATTATTAAATTCAAATATTTTATAAAAGATCTTTATGTATCACATGTTTTGTAAAAGCTACACAATGCATGAAGAATCAATCTTATTTTTTATAAGTTGAAACAAGTCAGGAAGAATAAAATAGAATAACTTACTGAGCTTTAACTGCGCCTGTTTTATATGCTTCACGCCACATATGTCCTTGCAATTGCTTTAATGCCCCTGTCTTACGATCGTTATCCATTTGCCACAGAACATTTTTCAAGAGCGAATCTTTTTCATCTTCAGGCTTATCACCAGTAATCGCTACAAAACCATCTAATTTATCTTCCTCATCCTTTTTTGCCTGAAATATATATATAATATAATAAAATTCTATAAGAAACTCAAGAAAACAAATTATAAAATTCAAAGAAAATAAATTGTATAATTTAAAAATTTGTTTACATTAGGGTTAAGTTTAAACTGAATATAATTTATATATATATATATATATATATATATATATATATGTATAATGTAACGAAAAAATATATTGTACAATATATAGAAATTGAGATTTAAACCACAAAATCAAGTTTTATATAACATATAAAAAAGTTTGCATAAACCAAGAAACAAATAATGTCTGTGTAGAGTTTTTAATATTGTTAAAGATATGAAAAGAGGCAGGGATATATTTCATGTTTATTTGTTATTAATATCAGAAATTACTTTTATTATAAGAATAACATGTAAAACAATAATCATTCAATAATTTTATTATAACATAAGAAAGTTTGCTCTATGAAAGTTCACTATTTTATATTTTCTAATATTATTTCAAAGCATTTTAAAATAAAAACTGTCTTTAAGTTTCAATGACAATCAGTTACGCAGTCAAATTGAGTCTTTTCAATTAATTGATTTTCATGTCATAAATAGAAATTGTCTTAATACATTATTTGATTCTTTTAATTGAAAATGTGAAGCTTTATCTAAAAGAAAAGAAAAAAAACACCCAAGGCAAAGATTTTGATACAATCTGATGTAAATTATGACTATATTTTTCTCGCACATATAAATTTTCAAACAAAGAGACACACAAAAAAGTATTTTTCTATTTTCCTTTAGCCTGTGAAATTGGTTGCAGGTCAAAATCCGATATATTTTTATTTATTTATTTCTTCAACTCTTTTGTATTTACCTGTTCCTTTAAATCTCTGGTCAAAATCATATAGTTACCTGTTCCTTTAATTTTTCATAGTCTTGCTTGAACTCCTCATCCTCCCATTTGGACTCAATGTAATCTTTCAAATTCTGGCGCACGTAGGGAAACAGGGTATCCTGCAAAAGGGAAACAATAAGTCCGTGCATAAGCATCAACGCCGTCGCGAAAAAAATCACGCTCGGTGGCGTCTCGACGCGCCGCGTCAATATATTCGCCGATATCTATCGAAAGAATTGGTAATGTTTATTTTCGAGCTCGATTTTCCGATAGCGATTCGCGGGGAGGGGCGGTGCAAGTTCGCATTTTTTTTCCTCTATTTTTTATCCGCCTAAAAAAAGAACCGAAAACGAACCCCGACGTCTCTCTCTCGAGTCGTCGCCCGATTTCGCAAAACACGACGGTGGCGGCGACTTGCCGAAAACTCGAGCCGGCACACTCCGCCCAGACGCGAGGACAATAACCCGCCGTGGAATTTCGCATATACCTATACGAGCCTTTTCCACGGACACCCGGACGATTCGGCGGAATTACGCGCGGGGCTAGACCCCATCGCCGCCATCGTCCTCGTCGCCTCGCGGGGGAGATACCCATCCTCGAAAAATTCGGCGAGGAGAATTCGCCCTGTTCGGGGGAATCGAGCGAGACGGAAACGGCGCAGCCGAACTCTCGCGAGACGCGCTCGCGCCGTCCCATGCCTTTATATCGCCTTTATGCCCTTTTTCTTTTACCTTCACGAAGCTGATGCTCGTGGTGGTGCCCTCGATGTCGACGAGCACCGTCCTCGCGGTCTCGTCCTGATCTTGGCTGCGCTTTTCCCCGGCCATTTCTACGAACGACTCGCCCACGACCGTAGAATTAATAACGGTATATATCTATATATATGTATGGTGTTCCCCCTCGGTTAGGTTGGCGCTCACGCTGTGTATGTCGGCGACGACGCGTTCCTGTTGAGAGCCGGCGAACGAATTCGCTGTTGGCCGTGCGCCAATGTGTGCTCGTTCCGGTGTATATGAGTGCGCGTGCGATCTCTCGCGAGTCCCCCCCTTCGCTCTCGCGCCCTGGTGTACCCGGTAACCATACCTGTATCACGTGTTCCGGGTGCCCGCCATTTTGTCGTTCGCTCGCCGCGAACGAATCTCGAGGAAGATAAAGCTCCGGAGAGATTTCGAATGTACGCTTCCGAAGGATACTACAAGAGTCACCGTGTTCTTCTCCCGCCAACTTTTATATATTTACATCTCCGCGGTTTATCTGCAACAATAAGACATGATTCTCGACGAATTATACATAAATATATCGTTACGATTTAATGACGGCAATTAAATGCTCTTAGCTCTTACCTGTCACTTTTTACACGCGTTATATTCGAGGAATGCTTGTTATCGATGATAATTCTTAACGCTGCTTGATACAAATGAAGAATTAAAAGTAGAATTTTAGGAGAAAACGCCGGGTTTTGCAACGGATCGCGACGAGACTGCGTGAAATACAAAACGCGGTCCGTATCGGCGCGCAGCTCGCGATAGTGTGAGTGCGTGCCGCGAATCGCGTTCGTTCCCCCTCGACCTCGACCAATCAGCGATCTCGTCATCGCGAATCCGTGCGCGCTTGCGTGCGTCCTTCCGAAAAATTTCACGCCGGTGAATTTGGCAAAAAATCTACCCACCTCGGCGAATTTTCACGACGAATTGATAAAAAAATTCGCAATGTTTCCATCATTTTGCATTTGCGAGGAAGCATGATCGATTCGGCCAAAAAACTGTTCGAATATCGACTCGACGACGAACCTCCTTCGCTGATATTACTCCGCGGAAAAGTAGTTCCATATCGCGCGTGATTTTTTGTCCTCTTTTAATAAACGATACGTAACGTCTTAAGACTCGATCGTTTTATTTGACAATTTCGCAATTATGTCGCTAATTCAGTCGTTTTACAATTTAAAAACATTTTTGTCCTTGTAGCTGACAATTGAGAATTCCTTTCAATTGTTCGATTGTCCGTGGGAAGGGCACGGGCAATCACCTGATTTTTGCGCCAATGGCGCGTCCATTTAAATTTCTGCGTAACGCGCGCGCATTTAAATTTAAATGACGATGACTGCATTGCTTTATTTTTTCAGCAATGTTGTAAAATATTTAATATTATACACAAATATATGCATGATTACAACAGCATACATATTAATGATATTAGAATGTAACCATCAGAATTTCCTTGGAAGATATTCTAGAATAAAATAAAAATATTTTTATAATTTGAATATACAAAGTATAAAAAATTAAATAGTTAATAGTAATATTGCTATGTAATATATAGATTAATAATATTGATAGTAATAATTTTGAAATTATAATATACATATATATGAGATAACAGGTTACAATTAAATGAATAAATCAAATAAATAATTTATCTACCTGTTTCATAATATATATATAAACAGATATATGAAAGATATTGAAGACATTTTTTTTTCATTTCACATAAACATATCTTATATTTACATAGATATCATCGCATATGATGTACATTGACAGTTACGTTGCAATCAAAACAGAATTTAATATAGAAAGCAAAAAAAAAAACGTATCATTAAATGTATAAAAACACGTGTATTTGTATTTAAAATCAATCATGATAATATGAATGTATGTATATAAAATTATTTACTTAATAATTAACTTATGATTAAAAGACTATAAGTGCTATCTAATGTGTGTACATAATATATAATATAATGATCGCTATAATATATAATAATGTTACTGTAAAGATATATAGCACTGGTGTGTATGTGTATGTATATTATTTTATTTTTTGCAATTTTGTAATTTCATTTAGAAACTTTAATTACCTGTATAATTAATTTTACTTGTGATATTAAGAATCTAATTTGTTTAATTTTTCACCGAGATGCTTATTCAGATGAATTCTGATTTCTTGTTGACTATTGCATTTTTCTCCGCACTCTGGGCATTCAATTTCACCATCTCCATGTTCCTTTTTGCGATGCTTTGATCGATAATTGTAGGTAGAGAACGATTGGCCACAGTCCGAGCATTGATAAGGCTGTTCGCCTGTGTGCTTACGGCGATGATGGTCCCTGGAATCTTTTCGCCTGAAACTCATATTACAATACTCACAAGTATAGGGTTTTCTACCAGTGTGTAGTAAAATGTGATTGTACAAGGATTTAGTATCGTTAAATCCTTTGCCGCATTGTGCACATTTGTATCGTTTCTCGCCACCGTGCTTGCTCTTGATGTGATTTATCAGCAGTTGTTTGATCCTGAAAGTAGCGTTACACGTGTCGCATTGGAATATCGGGCTGACCTTACCCTCATGCACCTTTTCTTTGTGCGCCTTGAGCGACATTTGATGTTTGAACTTCTCGTGACATTCGTTGCATTCGTACCACGGTTTTTGCTTTGTTAGTAAGGGATCTTGGCGGTCGATCTGATGAGTCTCCATCATGTGAGACTTCAACATACGATAGGTCGGCAAATCTTCTGCACATACCAGACATGTAAACAATTGCGGCAGCGATACATTCTTATCATTTTTCCAGTGCTTTTCTAAATGTTCGTTCATGTTCTGCTTTTTGCTGAAGGACTTGTTGCATATGTTGCAAACGTAGCGATTATTAGAGAAATGAGTTTTCTTGTGGAGTTTGAGTGCATTAGTAGTCATGCAGCGCAGGCCACATATGTCACATTGATAAGGTCTCTCGCCTGTATGTGTGCGATGATGTTCCTTCAATCGTGCCTTCAGTTGAAATGACTTGCCACATTGCTCACAGATATGTGGTCTAGCTCCTTTGTGTACAAAGAGATAATGCTCGTACAAGGAATTTTCTGCACTGAACTCTTTGCCACACGTGCTGCAAATAAACTCGTTCATGTTTTCATTATGTCTCATCTCATGGAATTCCAGTCTTTCTTTGCGCACAAAATGTTTAGGGCATTTCGAGCAATGATATTGTCGCGGCGAGATCACTTTCATTTCGTTTCCATCAACCATTAACGATAAAGTAGAGTCCTCGCAGGCTGCACATGTCGCCAAATCGTTAATTCCATCCGGATCTAAATCTGTTATTAATTTTCCACAGAGACTACAATTTACAGCAACTCGCTCCTGTATTTCGACTGCAATAGCTTTCTTTGCTTGATTGACAGTTACTTCATCCGCGCCCATCTCAAAATGTATCTCCTTGATTCCAAAGTGTTTATGTCTCTTTTGATGGCCAGTTAATCTAGGTTTCTTCGTGAATAACTTGCCGCATTGTATGCAAGCATATCGTTTCGAACTTTTGTGTGTGTGGAAATAGTGATCCCACAATAAGTTCTCGTTGCTAGCTTCTTTGTCACATACAGTGCAAACATATTTATCCATTTTATCTGACTTGTGTCTTTCCATGTGAAATTCGTATTTTAATTGTGAAAGATAACGAGCTCCACATAAATCACATACAATTTTTGGACAACTCTTACTGTCGATATCGTCGTATTTTGTACCATTTTCATTAATGTATTCTCCTTCAGTTTCTGTCAAGTACATTGTACTATTTTCTTCTTTGAAGTTTATTTCATTGCTAATCCATTCCACGCGTTCATCTATTCCATCATTTAGAGTCTCGCATTTTATGAAGTTATTTACAGCTACATAATCATTGTTTAATATATCGGTATTTGTTGCATCTAACTTCGTTTCTAGTTTTTGTGATTTAGTAGCTATTTCGCAAGAAATATTTTCCTTAAGTTTTCTCTTTGTACCTCTGGTTAATCGTTGCGATACATTATTCTTTTGATGTGTAATGTCAGTGTCAATATGATTTATATCTTCTTGTAATGTTGGTATGTTTTCATTTGTTTTATTGATGTTTTGTTTCTCATTATTCAACACATCAATGACAATGCTATGATTCAATGACGATTCTTGCAATTCTTCTGTATTTGATGGTTTAATGCAAGTATTAAGTTCTATTGTCTCTTCACAGGTTTCGATATTTCTTTCCATTAATTTTTCCATTTGATTTACTATGGCCAATGAAATTTGAAATGCATAATTACAATCATCAGGATTGCTCTTTACTAGGATCATTAAATCTACATTGCAATTTGGGCATGTATATATCATGTCATTATATAGTTTGGAAATTGTCTCAATTTCCATTCTTTCATTTTTATTGAGTTCAAACAAAGAATTATTTTTTGCCATATTGACGTTTTCCTTCGAGCATTGCAAGACATTTTGAATAAAATCATAATGAGTGGTAACTTTTTATAGCAATCCAAACATATATTTTTGGAACGATCATCCTGTGAAATCTGTAAAAAAAATAGGAATATTAATTATTTATAGACATACTAATCATTTATGTTTAATGAATCACATATACAAAACATTAACGTACCCTGATTGGTAATGTGTCATTTATTTTCTGCGCTAAATTAGTCGTTTCATCAAAGATATATTTTGAATTTATGAGTTCATGTTTAATGCCACACAAACGACATATCAATGTATTGTTTGACATTTTTGCAATTTACTATTATAATTTTGTTTGGTTTTTATAATTTTTTAGTAGATTATTTACAAAAGATGTATAATTTTCCCATATTTTCCTCAGGTATTGGCATCGATAGACTTTGTTTAAAATTATCTGAATAAAAAAAAAAACATTTAAAAATTATGTTATAATTATATTTGCACAAAACACATTTGCCGATATTTATAATATACATTAATTATAATTATCGTTAAAATAATTCTGTCTTGTAAATTTTAAAAATCACTCAACATCTAGCAATATAAACTAAAAAGAGATTTGGAATATCAAATTTTATTTGCTACTTAAAAATATATACTCGATGAAACTTTTTTGAAAATATGATTATTAATTTCAGTAAATTATTAACTATAAATTATGCCTTATACAAAAATATGTAATTATACAACTATATAGAGGTTAGAATAATTAGGTGCATAGAAGAAAAGTATCTATATATATATATATATACTAAAGTACACAATAATTTTATCGAATTATTCAGAGAAAGGGACGCATTTTTAATAATAATAACATATAGTATAAAAGCTGTACAGTATAAATTGAAATTTAAGACAATAACGACAATACACATACATTACCAAGATGAAATTGAAATTGATACAAAATTTTAACTTACAGTTCAGTATTTACTTCACGTTTCCAATTCCTCCAATTATATTCGATTATTGAAAGATTTTATACGTCGATCAAATTATTATGATTATAATTGACTATATATTGCGCACAACTTGAAATATATTTTGACTTTGACTCTCATGTACATATACTGCGCGATTTCGCCTACACTGCACCCTAACCTCTAAAATCGATAGTTGATTGCGATTCTCGAAATATCGAATCGAGAGTCTCGATCGCAGTCACAGTCGGGAACGCATCGCGGCGGATCGAAGTCGTGTGTGAGTAGCTCCGTATTTTCCGCGAATATTTCTGGCGAAAAGTGAATTCTGTTTGCGAGAAATTGTCGGAAGTGTCTCGTAAAGTGTTCGTCGTAACGTGAACGTAGAGTACGCGTCGTTATTATACGTCCATATCGTCTACGCGGCATCGTTTGTGTAAGGGCAATCAATGCGTTCCCGCGGAATTGCGAAATCATCCTCTTTGTAATAATTCAAGCCGTTTTCTCCCCGAAATGCAACGAAAATGCATCGAGCATTAAATTATTGCCAGGTATGTGTGTGCATCTTATCATTCTGCAAGCAGTTGCGTCAAATTACGTTTTTTGTAAGAATTAATTCTGTTGTACATGTGTATGGTGTATGTATGTGTATGTGTGTGTGTGTGTCGATCGTTTCAACATTTTAGTAAAATATTTCAAATTTTCTCTCTAACGTGATTGGCTCCTTGTTTTGACGGTTCTCTTTAACGTGATTGGTTCGTTGCTTCGATTGTTCGATACATCGAGAATTGCAATGCCGCCACCTTTCGATATATCTCAAAATTCGATATATCTCGGTTCACTCAATTGCAGCGCCATATTGGATCAATATATTCGAATAGTTATTGTATATTTCTCGCGCGCGAATAATTACCGCGAGTGTCCTGTAAAAAGTATATATCGGCCGTGTGTTGTAATATATATTAATTAAATATGTGTAATTGCTATTGTACGCTAAAATCAGAAGATATATCTGTGTGTGCGAAGTCGTAATCAATCTTTTTCACATTTAACCTTTAATTCTGAACTTCAACGCAAAATTGCAGCGGATAAGCAGAATCAAGTGTGTATGTAATATATTATTTTCATATAATGTATTTTTAAAACTATTTTATCTATTTACAATATATTTATCAGATTATTTTGAATTTCATATTCAATATATAATTACTACGCGATTGCATTTTGCATTTTGCAAAATATATATATTTATATATCTATTAGAAATGTATAATATTTTATGAATATATATGAGTTGTTTATTATATATATTCGAATGATGATTGTGTGATGTTGCCGGTGGTCGGAAGGTTAGATTTCTTTATTATTTAGCTAGTCACACGTGTTGTCTCATTCAGAAATCATCTAATATAAATTGATCAAGAAAGCAGAGGAATTTAAAATATTAAATTTATCTGCAATTATTACACACGATTGCTTGATAAAGAAGGTGAAAATTTTCTTATCGAGTTATAATTTGAATCATGTTTCGTATTTTGAGTTTCTGTGAACATCGTCATGGCTGGTAATTACAAAAGTTTTATGAAATTATTGGAATCGTGGCCACTAGATAAATCCAAAGCAGGCAGGTAATTATAAAAGAATGTAAAACCTTGTATACAGATATATAATTTTTTTAAATATTACAGTCATTAATTGTTGCTAACACATTAGTATTTGCTTCAAAAAAATATTTAGGTTAGAATATTTTTTTATATACTGTTATATAAAATAAATAAAGTTTCATAATTACTGGTAAATAGAACATATTATTGACTATCTGATTATTTTTTAATTACAATATTACAATCATTAATTATTACTAAGATAATAACATTTGCTTCAACAAATATTAGCTAGATTAGAATATTCTTTTATATATATTTATATACATATTGGTATATAAAATAAATATTTTTTATAATTATTAGTAAATAGAACGTATTATTTACTATGTGATTATTTTTTATATTATACTTGAATTATCTCTTTCTGTTTTGATTAATTTATGGTTGAATGATTTTTAGCGATTTGGGACAACACATTCGTGACCAATTAAAGATTGCTTTTGCAAAGGGTGACGCAGCTAGTCAACCAAATCCGGAACAGTGTAATCGATATTATTCAAGTTTGAAAAGACTTTCATCAAATCATTATGGACAACTTTATAAACGTTCCTTATTAAGTACTGCAAGTGGATTAAACAGGGAGCAATGTAACTTGGCTCTGACGCCAGAAATGTTAGATTATCTGAAGGAAGAAGACAAGGGAATATTTTACAGAGCTTATGGAAAGATCCGAAATATTGTAAAATATGATAGGAACTAAGTTTAGATATTTTTAGATAAGTTTAGTAAGAAAGGATATTTTATTAACAAACAACATATATTATTAGCAAACACAGATTTACTATTCTTAGGTAACATTAGACAATATAGTAATGTCTGCTCTGACAAATATTCGCATATGCCTATTATGGCACAGGAAGTATTAACATATATGGACTTAGCACCAGGCAGGACATATGTAGATATGACATTTGGTGCTGGTGGTCATACCATTAAACTTTTAGAACATTTACCTGATATAAAGATATTTGCATTAGACAGAGATCCTGTAGCTTACAAATGTGCGCAACAGTTATCGCAAAAATATCCAGGGAAAGTAATTCCTTTGTTAGGTAGGTTCTCCGAATTACCACAGTTACTTAAACAATATAATATTGAGAAAAATAGCATAGATGGTTTCTTGTTTGATTTTGGTTGTTCACCAATGCAAGTTGAAGTTGCAAGTAGAGGTTTCTCATTCACAAAGAATGGGCCTTTAGATATGAGAATGAATGCTTGTTTGGAACAACCTACTGCTGCAGACGTGTTAGATAAAGCGACAGAAGAGGATTTGGCTCGAATTATAAAAGTTTATGGACAAGAAAAGTATGCTAAGAAAATTGCGCGTGCTGTTATTGAAGCTAGATATATGTTTAGAAAATTAGAAACAACACAGGAATTGGTTCAATTGGTTGAATCTGTTGTAGGTGATGAAATTTGGAAGGATGATCTTTGTAAATATTCACAAAGTACTGCAAAAACATTTCAAGCGCTTAGAATTTTTGTCAATAATGAATTAAATGAAATCAATTATGGTATACTTCTTGCGAATATATACTTGAAATTGTCTGGTCGTTTAATAACTATTTCTTCTAATATGCTTGAAGATATTATAGTCAAAAGACATCTGTCTGGAAATATAACAGATAATGTCGCTAATACTATAGCATTAAAGTATGCGAATTATGGTAAAGTGTTTGATAGGGATGAATGTGAAATATTGACAGAAACACCATGGAAAATGATGCATAAGCATGTTCTAACACCTACAATTGAGGAAATTAAAAACCCGAGATTACGATCGATGAAATTGCGTGCCATTATGAAAGTGAAATAAATCTGTTTTATGGATTAAAATGTGCAATATAATTTATGCTTTCCTATCACTATATAAATATGTTGAGATTGTATTATTCATGTGTTTATATATATGTGTGTGTGAGGGAAAGAGGGTAATAGAGAATGTATATATGTATACATACACGATACATTTATTTTAATAGAATATATATATTGTTTTATACATAACAATTAAAAATAGCTTCTTGAATACAAAAAATTTATTGATAGTTATATTGTGACGTATAAAAAAATAGAATTTTTGAGAATTTATTAATATACATCACATTGTTGGAAATGTTTTTTCTATTGAAAAATAATTCTTTCAAAATAGGCCTTCTATTTCATCTGTTTCGCTATTCCAATCCATATCATAGATACTTGGTCTAGTTGAAAGTCCAGGCATCATCATAATCTAGAATACATTATTATATGTTATAATCTGAGGTAATTGATAATTCTTTTTAATTTAACAATTGAAGGAGAATTGTTGCACTCACCTCACCCACCATAGGAACAATAAATCCGGCGCCAACCGAAACGAATATATTTGTAATATTGAGAGTGAAATCAGTTGGTGCACCTTTGATAGATGGATCTCCAGTTAAAGAATTTGCTGTTTTTGCCATACATATCGGGAATTTGTTGTATCCTAACTTGGTATAATTTTCAATTTTTTTTTGAACCTGCGTTAATGGGATAAAAAAATTAATTTTTTTCGTAACTGAGATATGAGTGAATTGAGATATGAATGCAAGAAATGAGATGTACGAGTGTATGTGTGCGTGGGTGTGTGTATGCGTACTTGTGTCTGTCTATGTAGTGTAAAAATGTTTTAAAAATGGATAACTTTATAGCGCATTTTTGTATCACGTGGGAACGTGATTGTTTACCGTGTCCGCAAAAACAACTTTGCCCGCGCCATACATTTCTTTAGCGATTTTATTAATTTTGTCCTCGATACTGTCCTCGATATTGTACAACAGCTTGAAATTGTTAGGTTTATCAGTAGCTGCTATAACTGCATCTGCAAGAGCTACGGCACCTGGTCCACCGTCAGCCCAATGAGTGCATACTACTGCATCAGATGCACCGCTCTCCAGCGCTCCTTGCTTAACGACTTCTAGCTCCGCTGGAGTATCGGTGCTGAAAGATTAATATATATATTTATAATTTGTTTTATAATTTATAGATTGTATTAAATCAAACATAGTTTTTTATATAATCGTATTACGATAAATGTTATTTGAATCATTAAAAAATATGCGCACAAAGTTTTAAGATTATAATTGATTACAACAAAAATATTGTATACATGTCTATTTTAAATTTAATTTAAATACTCTTTGCAGTTGCAAAGTTTTCAGCGCGTGCGCTCGTCACTATATATATATATTTTTTTTTTTTTTGAAAAATTAGAGGAGAAAGACTTACGTATGAGAATTGATGGCGACAACTACAGGCACACCATATTTCAGACCATTGCTAATATGTTTTTGTAGATTTGGTAGGCCTTTTCTAACAAGTTCGATATTCTCTTCGAGATATTCTTTCTTCAGGGGTGCCCCAGTTGTTACTGGCGGTCCACCACCGTGCATTTTTAATGCTCTGATAGTTGCTACGAGTACAACGGCATTCGGTACGTGTCCTGAGGCACGACACTTGATGTTAAAGAATTTTTCTAGACCGATATCCGATCCGAATCCGGCTTCTGTTACTACAATGCCTTGTGGTCCGACCAATTTTAGAGCAATAGCATCCGCGATAATAGATGAACAACCGTGGGCTATGTTAGCGAATGGTCCAGCATGTACCATTACTGGTGTACCTTCCAATGATTGCATAAGTGTTGGTTCTATAGCATCTTTTAGCAGAATTGCCATTGCTCCCGTCATACCCTGAGGATTAATAGATATTTACTAATATTTACACAAGCGATGAATTGTTTTCACTTCGCGAAATTATGAAGATATATATATATATATATATATATATATTTGTGTATATTCATATCTAATATAATTATATTTCACGTTTAAATAATTAAAATTTTTAACTTGTATATTATTTAACAAAATATATAATGATCGATAAACATATTGTTCTCGTTTTGTTACTGATAAATAAAAAAATACAATATATATACATAAATAGCAATATATATTGTATATATTTTTTCTTTAATATTCTTCGTGTAATAAATTTATATACTAACAACATCTTCAGCAGTTAAAGGTTCGCCGCTTTTGCTAAATCCGATGACAATGTTACCAAGTCGTCTTTTCATATCTTCGACGTTGGTCGATAATGCTAGGATGGCCATTATTTCAGATCCAACGGAAATACAGAACGAGGTTTCTCGTGTCTTGCCTTTCTCGGTTGGACTCTGACCAATAGTGATCTTTCGCAAGAAACGATCGTTGATATCCACCGCTGTAGCAAAGAGATGATTATTGTGAATAATTTTTTTCTTGAAATATATTATTTTTTTTATTAGGCTTTTATGTGTTTATACGTACCTCGCGTCCATGAAACATTGGTCGGATCGATGTCTAGTTTTGCAAATCGACTTTGCTCCTCTTCTGTTAATGCATTCGGGTCAGTTTTCGTAATACCAAGTTTTTGCAATCGTCTTAACTGGATTTTTGAAAACTGTCTGACACCCTTAATACTCGGTACCAATCGATCGTATAAAGCTTTATCGCTCTGAGTTGACTCATGGAAATATCGCGCATCGATTTGCGCCGCGAGAAGATTATTCGCAGCAGTGACGGCATGAATATCCCCGGTCAAGTGTAGATTGAACTCCTCCATAGGAATTACCTGTTAGAAAATCGATATTAGATTAATGATGAAAAATAATTATGTATAGGAAAAACTCTGACGTAATAAAATAATTAACGTTATTAGCTAATAAAGAGTCAACGCACGGTAATTCAAGACACAAATATATATGTTTAAAAAATCAATTTTATAATTATTAATAATAATATATGATATTTTAAATTGGCCAATAGAGCCAAGCGCGAAAAATTAATTCTTTGGAACTGTATCTCTTGGTTTGAGATTACTAAGTTCCATATATAAATTAATCTCGAACTTACATATGGAGAAAAATAGGCAAGAAAAATATAGGTCCGAAGAATTAATTTTTCGCGCTTGGCTCTATTGGCCGATTTAAAATATCATATATTATTCTTAATATTGAGAGCCGATAAAAATATTTCTTATTTGATTTTACAATTATTGTTTTTTTTAATGTGTGTATTTACGTTTTGAATTACTATGTTGACTCTTATTAACTCATCTTAACGCTACAAATATTTATGAGTATGTATCTAAAATATTATCTAGAGAAAATTCTCGTACCTGTGAATATCCTCCTCCAGCAGCTCCGCCTTTAACACCAAATGTGGGTCCCTGACTAGGTTGTCTAAGGGTAACGAAAGAATTTTTGTCTCTATGCGCTGTCAGTGCCTGTACCAATCCAAGGGAAGTCGTACTCTTTCCTTCGCCGAACGGTGTCGGCGTGATGCCCGCCACCACGACGAACTTACCATTTTGTTGATCTTTTAAACGTTGTAGCACGCTGAGACCAATTTTGGCCTTTTTACTACCATAAGGGCTACATTCGTTCGGCAATAGTCCGATTTCCTCAGCTAGTATAGAGATCGGTTTTGGCGTTTGACTTCTAGAGATGGTAATATCGCTCGGTACAGGCCTCACAGGATTCAGTTTAAGAGTTCGTAGTTTCCATTGAACATTGAGCAGTTTTTGCGCTGATCTTTGCGCGGATATCACGGTGTTCTTCATCAACATTGCTACTGTCATAGGTCCAACGCCGCCTGGTACCGGTGTAATGTATGAAGCTACCTTGACAGCTTCCTCGTACGCTACGTCGCCCAACAAACGTTGTCCGTTTTTCTTTGTAGGATCTAAAATGTTCACAGTGTATTATAATAATGTCGATTGTGCTTGCCAATTTTTTTGTGTGATTATATTTTGAATATTTTAATATTCAATATTTGAATATCTTTTTTTATATCGTTTTTGTTATATGCAGAAGATTAATAATAATTCAATGTTAGTTTTTATTGTATGGAAAGTATATGAAATTATAATTAATTAATTATAGACAAAAAACACGTTGATGATATTTTGAAGAACAAGAAATTTTCATACGCTCACAATTCTTTAGACTACCTAACCGAATAGAAAAAATGTCTGGAAAAAAACTACTTGTAAGTCAGAAATTGTTCAGTTTTTATTATTTTTGTGATTTACTTTAGATAGTATAGCTATAACGACTAGATAGTAAAAAATTCTATTTAGATAAAATCCATGTTTAGATCAGCTACTAATGAGAACACAGATAATTTTATTTTTAATAAATGAAATGTTGTTAAAAACATTTTTAGTAATAAATATGTTGCGTCAAATGCTGTCTGTGTATATGATAATAAAATTAAAAAATTATAAAAAAGAAAGCAAATATAAAATATGGATGAAAATTATATATTCATTAAATTAAACAATAAAATTGTTTTATTTTGAATATTTTAATTATTATAGATTACAGAAATATTATTTATAATTTTTATTAAAGAATTCAAAATTTTTTATATATATAATTGTTTTTCAATAAAATTTAATACTTGTAATTTAGTATTTATAAATTTGCAAATAGTGCGCTTAAAAATTATATAAAGTATAAAAATATATTAATATCAATATATTTGATGATATAAGTAATTTAGTATGTATTACTTTATATATTTTAAAGATAAATTCTTAGTGTATTTGTTATCAGACACATTATCAGAAACTGATGCGTTATGACGCACGTATTTGGACGTGGTTGAAATTAAACTAAAGAATTAAGAAGATTGACCATGTCATATATTATAGTTTTTTGTTGAATCTTTCATAATTCGAAATGTATCCGAGCAGTGCTCGGAATTAATTAACCTTTTCGGCTGATTTCTGAAGCTTATGCTCCCTCCACTATCGAGTGTCGAATGATAGTGGGGACATCGCTTCAGAAATCGGCCGAAAAGGGCAATTAATTCCAAGCACTTACTGCTCCGAGTAAATAAGAACTTTTTTATCGTAATGAGAAAAAGAGTAAATAAGGTTAAAGAGGAGAAACTTGAGTAACAGTGATAAGAACAAAATAATATAGGCGCGATAGAATTACATTAAATTAAAAGAAAAATACTTTGAAGTAGACTAGAATTTTTTTTATTATTAAAACTTAACAAAATATCTTCTAACAATTCTGGTTATTCTTTGGTGTCCTCTCATAGAACAGTAGATTGTGAATGTGTCAAGATTTTATAAAAGACAAATATTGTGTAAAAAGATGATTTTATAAAGTGTTTCTGAATTCTTTGAATTTAATTTTAATGATGAATGTTTTAATGAATTCAAATTCAATTAATTCGTTTTTCCAATATATCGCATAAAGTTGAAACTATGTACCTGATATGGGATTGATGCCACAATCGATAACAACAGCGCCCGGTTTAATCCAATTACCTTTGACTAATTCAGGCTGCCCTATACCTACCACTAAAATATCAGCTTGACGTACCTGAAATAATTTTTTTTAATTTTATTTTTTTCCGTTTTATAAATGTAAGAAATTATTAAACTTGATTTCTTACGACATCAGGAAGATTCTTTGTCTTTGAGTGGCAAACTGTGACAGTGGCATGATGCCATTTTAATAATTCAGCAACGGGAGTGCCAACAATTTTGCTCCTTCCTAAAACAACAGCTTGAGCACCGGCAATAGGCACACCGCTCCTAAAGATTATTTTCAGGATTTTAACTTTAACGTAATGATGAACCAGGGTTGGGAAGTAACGAGTTACTTGTAACGAAATTACAGTTACAGTTACTTTTTTTCGGTAACTGTAACTTAACTTTGTTACTTTTCTCCATCTGTAACTGTAACTGTAACTTAGTTACATTTTTTTTAGTAATTAGTAATTATTTTAACAGTTACTTTATTAGTTACTTTTTTGGAAACATCCGCTAAAAGTATCGTTTAAGTATGGTAGCTATTATATTGTTAAATTAAATTTTGATAACAGTAGCATATGAATCTTCATATGATTTAATCTTGTACCTAAAATTTTCATTTTGTGTACATAAAATAATATAATACATAATTAAGATCGACCAATCACAGTCAAGTATTTAAAAAAATTCTTAAATGTAACAATTGATCGATTTGCTTGCGACTTTGCGATTACCATTTAGTAAGTTACTATAACTATTTTTACTGTTGTATATAAAGGTCATTTATACATTGATGGTAATCGCAAAGTCGCAAGCAAATCGATCAATATTACATTCAAGAATTTTTTTAAATGCTTGACTGTGGTTGTGCATAAAATGTAAGCTCCTTATATTTAAAATAATGTATAATTATTTTTAAAAAGTAACTGAAAAGTGACGATTCGTTACTTTTTAAGTAACTGTAACTGTAACGAGTTATTTTTTAAAATCGGTAACTTTGTAACTGTAACTAGTTACTTTTTTAATAAAATAACTGTAACTGTAATTAGTTATTTTTACAAAGTAATTTTCCCAACCCTGTGATGAACACACACACACACACATAATTTTTTATATTATATATAATTTTAAAAAGATTTATCACATACCTTTTTATTAATTCAATACATCCATTAGGAGTGCATGGCAAAAATCCAGATAGGTCACCGATTGCAACTCGACCTTCATTAATGGTGTTTAATCTGCGATTAAATGATTATATATCATTTGGAGGGATGAACATTTATTAATATGCATTGCAAGTTTTTGTGATGTGTGATATCTTAAATATTCTAAATTTGTGTAGCAAAACATATTTGCTCAGATTAACGCCTATCTATTCTTATCAAATTGCAGTGTGTCAAAGGGTATAATGTCTCTCTTGCTTATCACTGTTTTATGCGTGACGAAAGCTTCTTTAGTATATCATGATTTTGTAATCATAAATATATATCCATACATATTGTGTCAATAATAACGATTTTATAATCATAAAAGATTGAAATAATTATGAAATAAATTTTGTTATATTTAAATATTATATTAATAACTTAAAAATAACTGAAAAATAATTGAAATTTTTTAAATTAATTGAAATGTTCAGTTTGATATTCTAATAATTATAAATTTCTATACATCTATTATTAGAAGTTAGAATAGAGTATATTTCAAAAAAGCGTGCATTCGAGCGTGAATCTATCTATATATTGTGTACATAAAAAAGTTAGATATAATCTTTTCTTATCTTTAAAATTAATAAAATATAATAATACATTATTTGAATGGGTTGTTTATAATATGCTGTTATTTGATAATATATATAATATGCAGAATATAATGTTATTTTCTGATTAATAATATATGTTGTTAAATAGCGACTTATTTTAGAGACATCTTATATATTTATATTAGATAAACATATACTTATTTACCCATCAACATCTTTCGCCGGTGATACAAGGTCGGTGATCAGATGAGAGTTGATTTTATTGACACTGTCGAGCGGCATTTGTACAATAATTCCGTGAATATTCGGATCGTCATTCAGCTTGTTAATTTTGTTGATGAGTTCTATTTCAGTGGTGGTATTAGGAAGCTGACAATGTTTGACATCGATTCCTATTTCGCGAGCCGCGTTAGTTTTCATCTTTATGTAAACATTCGAATCTTCTCTTGCGCCTACCTGAACGATAGCCAGGCCAGGTGCAAAATCACGCAATTTTTCTTTTAAGGCCCTCACATCATTGGTTAACTCCTTACGGATTTCGCTACAAAATTTCATTAAATATATATTTATTAGATGCAATCAAGCTTTACCAAAATTATTCATTTTTCAAATAAAAGAAATTTGTAAGAAATATTTTCGAAATAAAATTAAAATAAAAAAAAGTGTCAAAAAAAGTTTTAAAATTTAATATTATAATTTTTTCAGTTTTTCTAATATATGTACATACTTTGCTGTTTATTAAGCATTTTGTGAATTTGTTTTAAAGTGACTTTGATTTAATTGTTTACGAATATATATATACATACATATATATATATATATATATATATATATATATATATGTTATATATGCATAATTGAACTTCAGTTTTCTAGACCTTTGAGTTTCGCGGGCAATCCTAGAGACTACCCAGACAGCACCAAGCTCCAAAATTGGCGCATAAGATATCATTAAGAAATCTTGAAGACAGCTTTAAGAAATTTTATGATATGATATCTAAAAGACATCTTAAAAATATCAGAAATATTTTATGCGCCGATTTTGGATTTGATGCTGTCTGGGTAGTTTGTTCGTTTTGCTTACGCAATCCCCTAAAAATTCTACATTTGAACCAGGACGAATATATATTTGGGTGTTAGAAAGAAAGAAAGCAAAAGAATCAGAGTGTAGAAAGTGCAAATAAAACGAACAGATTTATTAATTACCTTTTAAATGTAAACAATATGTGATAACAAATTGCTATATACATATATATATATATATAAATTACGTTTTAATATTTATCACTTTATACTATTTATCTTATCTTTTTATACTTTATCATAAAAGTATTACCGAATATTTGAAGATACCATAACCTAATTAATGGTACACGTTCCTATTATATATATATATATATATAACTTTTTTAAACATTTTGTGTGTATATTATTTAATAATTTATTATAATTTACTTTTAATCAAATTATTATGCTTGCTAAGAGTTGCTTTGTAAACAATATTTAATATTTATTCAATATTTTGTTTTCAAATTTCTTTGTAACACGTTTTTAATTTAATTCATGATGCCATATTGTTTTATGATAATTAATTGATTTTGTTAGTAAATTCATTTAACGAGGCGCTTGAAATAAATCGTACTCACCTTGCTAATTCAGTTCCGGACAATACAACTCCTCTCACATCCGTGGACATGGTTCTGATCAGAAATCTTAAAAAATTTTCAGTTTATATAATTTTGAAGCTGATTAAATTGAGAAAGAAATTTTAGGTTTGTGTTAAATTTAGAAAAAATTAAATTAAATCGTACGACTTTTGATGTGCACAAATCGATATTAAGTTTTCTCACGAATATTGGCCTCTGTTGATTCACAGACTGATGTTGATTGAATGAATCTCCTTAGCATTCCCGACCGGTTTACAAGTGATCTCGAGTATTATATATAGGGTGTCATAAAAATACGAATGTTTTAATATCAAAATTCTTGAATAAATATAATTAAATTCTTCACAAGAAAAAAATCAAATCTAATATATATGTAATTTCATGACTATAAAAGATTTAATAAAACTATTTTTAAAAGAAATATATATATATATATATATATATATATATATATGTATATATTAATCACTCATTATATGATATTTTATTTGTATATATTTTTCAAATTGAATTTAAAGAGAACATTTTATATTTTTTGTTTTACTTTATTACTTTAATTTGTTCCTTTTAAGTTACATTTTTGTAGAAAAAGTTGCTAATCTTATTTGAGCTAGATAAATATATTGTTATATTCTTTCGAGATATTATCTTATATAAAAGATATAAAATTATTATTATTAATGAGAGATCAAAATGTTTTTTATAATATAATAAAACAAAAGAGAGAGAGAGAAAAAGAGTTCTGATAAATATAAAATCACGATTATTTTATATCTTCTATAAAATAAAATTTTTTGATATAATTTTATAACATTAAAATATAATTAAATAAAATATAATTTTATAAAACTGATTTTTTTGTTTTTAAATATGATCTTTATTATATTTTGTTGTAATGTTTGTTTCTATATTAATTATATATATATATAAATATTTACAAAAAATTTTGCACATATTTTACAACACAAATTTTAATTTGAAAGAGAAATGGTCTCTATTATATATTATTTTTTTATTATTATATTATATGTATATAAATTATTATTATATTAATTATATAGAATAATTATAATATTCATTAAATTGATAGTAATCTTACTTTAGAGTTCTCGATATCATAAGCCTGACCCAATGATTCAATGTAACTATGTATTAATCTCGCTTTTGTCGACAGATGCAACTTTATTGTAAAAAATAATATTGAGAAATATAAATATGTTTACCAGCCTTGTACGATATACAATACGATAAACTCTGACATGTCTTATAATCAATCTTATATTTAAACTGTAATATACAATTGTTGCAAATTTTTACATTGATTAAATATTTCATGTATACATTACATATATACACATATATACATATTGCACAAATTCGTGATATTTTTATATTATTTTTATACGATATTATAAGTATAAGTATAAATATTAGAATACAAATAGAATAATTTAGAATAATTTATTAATATTTAATCGAAGTAAAATAATAATTTATATAGATTTCTTTAATATTTTTCTAGATATTTTTGTCGAATATGCTCACATTAATTCATAAAATGCATTATTTATTGTTACATGAGAATCTGTACAATTAAGTTGCCTGAATCAAGCGATAACCGTTTGATCAATCACGTATAGTATGTGAGACGCATATTTAAATGCGTCATTCGTTATCTCGTACGTCACACGACGATGCTTACTTATCATTCTCAGAATCCATGTTTATTTAATTATATACGCACATCTCTATTTGATTCACTTATTAAAATACTTTAAAGAATTAGAAGAATTTTTTTAAATATATTGAATCTTATTTTTACATGCGAAGTCTTAAACAACGTGCATATTAAAAAAAATTAAAAAAATTATTATATAATATATTGTATGACCATACAGTAAAAATATCTGTTTCTTATTATATATATTAAATACAAAATTTTATGCATATAATAATAATTTTTAAAACATTTATTTTGAATGTGACTATAATTTAGATTTTGTATTTTTATGTTACAGATTAACTTAGGCTACATAGTCAATTTCGCTCCATCAATCGGTGAATAATAAATTTTTATTATTTGGTAAAGAACGTCAAGGAATACCGCGTGTTGCGCGCATTCGAATTCGGCGGGAGTGCCGTGAAAATGTCGCGTGTTTATTTTTATTAATTTTAATTTCGGAAATGCCGTGCAAATACATTATTATGCCATACTAATGTCGAATTTTTAAGAGACTTGTTTTATATCGAATATCAGGATATCGATTCGCGATAGCGGAATTCGGGAATGTCGTGCGGATCTCGTGCATTTATTTTTATTACCACCGCGAACAATTCGCGTTCGACCGTCATTAATAATTTTTCGTGAATAAAGTGCAGTGCGTAAATGTAACGAACTCTAAGAAGACAATCTGACAGTCTGCCAATGAGAGGAGGAGGAGGTCTGGGAGACATCGGGCGATAGCGGAGCAACCTTGTGGTAATTTATTATTTGGATATTATTTTTTCTTAATTGTGTACACATATCATTTATTTGATTCATTTACTTGAATTATTTAAAGAATTAAAAGAATTTTTTTTTATATATGGAATCTTATTTTTACATATGGAATCTTATATAAAAACTTGCAAAAACTAAAAAAAATTTTTTAAAATTATTGTATAACCACACTGTAAATATCTGTTTCTTATTATATATATTAAATACAAAATTTGATGCGTATAATAATAGTTTTGAAGATATAATTTATTTTAAATGTGGCTATAATTTAGATGTTATATTTGTATGTTACAGATTGATTTAGTCGTAGTCAATTTCGTTACATCGGTCGGTGAGTCATAAATTTTTATTTTATGGTAAAGAACGTCAAGTATATATAAATAATAGATTTTAATATGTAGCCTCTTAAAAGGTTTGCTTTTTAAGTTCTATTCATTGCATATAGATATGAAATCTTTTTAATGTACTTGACGTGCGTTTTTACCATTTTTTAGAAAAGTATTTTTTATAAACTATATGTGTCTTATATTATTTATATTATATGCATATTTATATTATATACATGTGTTTCATATTATTTATATTGTATATATCTTAATAGTTTATCTCGACTTAATTTTACATTCAATTTATCAAATACAATTTCGCTAAAACTTTTAACAGTATGGCAAGTGCAAATCTATTTAGTAAGACAGGATTTACATTTTTACACGTACTATATATCTCATATCAAACTAATAGTTTTGATTTTATATTGTACAGTATTATAGAAAAGTTTTTTTTATACACTATATGTGTTTCATATTATTTATTTCGTATAGATCTTGACAATTCAATTAATTTTAGATTCAGTTTTTATTAAATATAGTTTTTCTAAAACTTTTATATTATTACGGCAAATGCAAGTCTATTTAGTAAAATAGGATAAAAATTTTCATATTTATATATCTCATAATCAAACTGATATTTCGCGATTTTTATTAATTTTAATTTTGGAAATGCCGTGTGTGCAAAGGCATTATTACATCATTATTAATGTTGAATTTCTAAGAGAAAACCGTTTTATCGATATCGAATATTAGGTTCGCGTTTGCGCAATTCGGGAGTACCGTGTAAAGTATTGCGTATTCGAATTCGGGAGTGCCGTGAAAGTGTCACGCGTCTATTTTTATTAATTTTAATTACGGAAATGCCGTGCAAAGGCATTGTTACGTTCTACTAATGTTGAATTTTTAAGAGACTCGTTTTATCGATATCGAATATCAGTATATCGGTTCGCGTTCGCGGAATTCGGGAGTGCCGCGAAAGTATCGCGCGTCCATTTTTATTAATATTAATTTCGGAAATGCCGTGCAAAGGCATTGTTACGTCCTACTAATGTTGAATTTTTAAGAGATCCGTTTTATCGATATCGAATATCAAGATATCGGTTCATGTTCGCAGAATTCGAAAGTACCGTGTGTATTTCGCGCGTCTGTTTTTATTATACCGAATGATTTGCGCGCAATCGTCATGATCGTTTTTTCGTGGATAAAGTACAGTGTGTAAATGCAACGAACTCTGAAGGAGGACAATTTGACACTCTGAGAGGAGGAGAAGGTCTGGAAGACATCGGGCGACAACGGAGCAACCTTATGGTAATTTATTATTTGAATATTGATTTTTCTTAGAATTGTGTACTTACAAAATATCTCTGTTTATTTAATTTATTTTTTTGAATAATTAAAAAAATTAAAAACAAATTTTTTAATATTGAGAATCTTGTTTTTACATATGAAAACTTATAAAAAATTACATAAATTAAAAGAAATTAAAAAAAAATATTATCTAATATTGTATAATCACACAGTAAATATCTGTTTCTTATTATATACATATATTAAATGCAAAATTTGATGCGCATAATAATAGTTTTGAAGGTATAATTTATTTTAAATGTAGTTATAATTTAGATCTTATATTTGCATGTTACAGATCGATTTAGTCTACGGTCTACGTAGTCTTCGTTGCATCGATCGGTGAGTCATAAAGTTTTATTTTATGGTAAAAAACGTCAATTATATATATAAATAATAGATTTTAATATGTAGCATCTAAAAGGTTTGCTTTTTGAACTTCTATTTATTGCATACAGATATAAATTCTTTTTAATGTACTTGACGTGCGTTTTGACCATTTTTTAGAAAAGTGTTTTTTCTCAACTATATGTGTTTTATATTATTTATATTATATACATGTGTTTCATATTACTTATATTGTATATATATCTTGACAATTTTTCTCGACTTAATTTTACATTCAATTTATTAAATACAATTTCGCTAAAACTTTTAACACTACGGCAACTGCAAATCTATTTAGTATAACAGGATTTAAATCTTTACACGTATTATATATCTTATATCAAACTAATATTTTTTAATTTTACATTGTACAATATTGTACAATTAAATTAGTATTTTTCTAATAGTTAAATTAATTTTTCATAAAATATGAATAAAATTTAATATACAATATTTTACAGTTCTTTTTATTTTACGTTATTTATTATTGTAGTTAATTATAGAAACAATGATATAAATGATATTCTTTGAATGCTATTTAATCCAATTGATCAAAATGTTGGATAAGATATTTTTGCTAATTTTGATATACCATTATGATGAATTTTATACTTAAGAGAAATATATCGAACTCGATGCGAAATGCCTGTCCAGTGCATCGATTTTATATTTCTCCAAATCGTTCTAAGTTCCGGTGATCTTCTGGACAATATTTGGCAGCCTTGCAAGAGAGCTTCTCGCTCGTAACTCTAACTTAATTAAGTCCAAGTCGAGCGGTTGAATCATGTATAGCTATTGGTGGTCCATGCGAAATTATTGATATCGGCAATCGGCATTCATAATTGCCTGATGTCAGTTTTGCGTTGGGTTTTATAATATAGCTTTCGAAGGAATCTCGCGAGTGTTTATCGTCTTTGTCGATTGAACGAAAACTCTCTCTTTCTCTCTCCCCTACCATTTTGCTCCCTTAAACTCTTGTCTTCTTCACCCTTCTTGACTCGCCTGCGGCAATATCGTGCGAATTCAGAATCTTGCACGTCTTTCGAACTTATGTACCATTATGATCATGTACCGTTCAAATTTTATCAACGCCGATGAAAAACGATTTTGTGTGAAAGTAAATTCATGTAAATTAATTCCGTTGCAAGTAGGATAACCGGTTTGAAGACAGAACCAGAATCAAAACCGGAATCACAAAAAACTCTCTGTAGCATTTATGATGATGAAACGGTTTTTCTATTACATTTCTGCGATTTTCTTAATTATTATATAATCTTTAAATATTTTTAAATAATTTTCATGGGATCGCTCGATAATTATGTGAATTAGAATACATAGAAAATAATTTGTTGTCTAAAAAATATCTTATTATTAATAGATAGAAAATGTTTGTGCTATTTATAATGAAACTGTATATATTTTATAAAAATAATAGATTTTAAGTTTTGAAGTAAATTCTCAAAAATTTAAGAATTATATAGGTACTTAAAAATATATTTGATAAAATAATAAGCTATTGCGCTTTTCTATTTTAATATTATATTTATTGTACTTAAATCTATTTTTCAAAATTTTATATATTGATTGTATATAACATACTCGCATAATGTTAAAATGTTACATGAATATCTTTATTACCGAGGAATCCTATTATATATTCCTGCCTCTCATCACAGTCTCTGTCGTGGTAATTCGAACCTCTTGATCATCGAAGTCAGTAGAACTAATACTACCTATACGTCGCGAGATCTTCGGTGCGGCTATATCGAGCGATGAAGCTTCGTACGAAAAGGGGCAAGTTTGTAGCTTCGTCGCGGGATAGGTACGTACAGATTCCAACTTCTGCGGATAGTTGGGCTTAAGGGTTCCAGGGAGAAACTAGCCTTGGGGTGACTGGCGGCTACGGATGATCGGGGCTGAAGTAAACCGTTGAGATGGGCGGCGCGAGGAACGGGCAGGGGGTCCAAGGGGTGGAAGGTCACTGCAGATCTCGGAGAGAGCGTAGCAACTCGAACCGCAAATTCCTTTACGGTGTTCAGCGTGCGGCGCATTCGCAGTTAGGAGCAAGGAACCGGCTCGTTTTCGCTAATAGGGCGCGTCCAACTTCGCGCGCCGAGCACCCCGCGCCTCGGTGATACTTCGAAGGGTGCGTTGTCCCAATTCTCCGCTACGCTTTCGAGATTTCCGCTTCGGGATTTCTACGTTTACCGCGCCGTCGGACACACAAAGCTCCATAGGGACCGCTTGCAAACGCTGCATGCGAGGTGATCCACCTCGATCGCGAGTTTCCTTCTTCGAATGCGAAGAACTGTACATTACGTAGACATTGTCTGCGCGTTCCCAACTTTGGATGTTAAGTTGTAAATATTGCAAGTATTGCAATCAAAAATGAGATAATTATCTTACCTTATTTATTTATTATTGTATCTTGCGAGATTAATGCTTTTACTTAATATTATACGCTGCATTATAAGTTACGATTTCACTTGAACTATGACTTTTTAAATCGTTCTATCAAATTTAAAAAGAATGTAAATATAAATATTTGTTTGCTAGTGACAGTAGTTCTGTTAGTAATAAAGTTATTAGTGCTATTAATTTCTGTTAACAATGCTATGATATTTATACTCGTAACAGAAAGTCCATTTATTTCCTATTACTGCAATTGTGTTGCATTGAATCTATAATTGTATAATGAAAATGTGGCGCAAGTTTTATTCGATATGCTTATCAAATCCTAATACGGTCGCGTAATTTAGTCACTCTACAGGTGAAACTTGCGATGTGTTTTCCATCAGGGATCCTTAGTAGGGTGCTAGTGGAAATTAATGACCAGTCGTCACTCCCTCGCATCTAAGCGATATCTCGAGAAGAGAAACAGAGAGGTAGAGGGAGACGGAGTATTACCGAATTGGACGCGACCGGCAATAAATAGATGATTGAACGCAGTCCCGGCGTCAGACGGCGGAAGGGATATGAAATTAATACAAGTCCTGCAGGCCTACCCTCCAAGGCGTTTATACCTTCGCGGAGATATTTCTGGCATCCTTAGGCTCCTCGAGCGGAAGGACCCTTCGACGCGAATATCAAGGAAATTAGAGACGTTAGTAGGCAGGCCCGGATTATCAACGCTTCGTCGAATAGTCGTACAGTACGGTCATCGGTATATCGCGATTCGTCCCGACGATTATACCTATCTGCGGCCTCTTATGATCTTACAGAGCGTAAAAACCGCATACACAAGCCTTACGAGATTATTGCGCATTGAATCA